ATGCCTACTTTCTAAGTATTTGAGATTATATAATTGAAACTTTACAACCCAACAAGAAGATGCAGAGAGAAAATKTGTCATTGTTGTTCTGAAAAGAGCTCAGGATTTAGTACCACGGGATGCTGGATCAGGCCATGAAGGCAGCTGAAATAAATTCYTGCTTCCTCCATCCTTCATTTCTCTCCATGCCTTAGCCAATTATTCTAGCTATGCACTCTGGTTTGTCAGTGAAGCTAGCAAAGTTATTTGCAGATCTGCATGATCTGCACTGTCAACCAGATCCCTGAAATCGGAAAAAAAAAAAAAAAAAAAAGACAAAAAGGATATAAGAAAGATGTCATTTAAGATGATTTTTATAACACGGTTTATAATTTAACCCAATCAAAGAGCTGCATTTGCACGAACAGCACGATGGCAAACACAAAGGTGCTGGCACAGGCGTGAGTACAAACAGTGGGAGCCTCTTCAAAGAGTTTTGCTACTACTACTACAGCCAGCCACTTTTGAAATTAAACCCACCAATAAGAGCATAACTAACATGAGAYGGGAGCTGAAAAGGCACTGAACACAGTCAAAAAAAGGGTATGAGAAAACACAGAGTAAACAATGAAAAAAATGCAATTAAGACTTTTTTTTTTGTAAAAACAAAACAAAAGCCACATTTTAATCGAATGAGGCAATTTCCAGTGACCATATAACAACAGTATCAGTCATGTTATCAGTGACCAGCAACAGCCCCGACTYGCACCTTGTTCCAAACTCTCTCTCTTCACTGTAAGCTGCCAGGGCTTCACTGTCATCCCCACCCAGGATCCTGGCCTCTCTTTCCTTACATGAACCACTGAACTTCTGCCTTTCAGACATCAAATTGCTAGGGAACAGGGCTTGGCCCATGCAGAGGACTGCTCTGCCAAATCCCTGTCCCAATTTCTTTCTGTTCCTTTCTCCTGTCCCAGACTCCTTGTCCCAGTCAAGTACTTCCTCTCTTCATCCCCTCTTGTTTCTTGCCTCCTCTGCATGCAAGGCAGGAGGTATTCCTCCCTGGCATTGCCAGAGGGCTTATTAAAGACTGCTGTCAATTACGGTGCTCACTCCTGCACTGACGCACAAGAGCGGGGACAGCAACCGCTGGGTAAAAGTCATGCTCTGCTCTGGACTGCGAGTCACTCTGCAAACAGCCTGAGCACCGAGAGCTGTGCCCAGTGATGGTGTGTTAGTCTAAGGTATAAGCTGAAAAAAAAAAAAAAAAAAAAAAAAAAAAAAGTACCTATTTTAATGTGCAAACGATCACTTAAAACTTGGCCATGTATAGGAGACTTTTCAGGAGAACAACAAAAAAATCATGTGCCCAATGTAGAGGTCACATCCCATTGGAAAGCATAAGGTTACTGTCAAGGAAAACTCTGCTCATACTATGGATCATAGGCATAACTAGTAATTTATAAAAATAAATAATAAAAAATGATTTTTATTCTTCTTAAAAGCAGGTGCAACTGAAAATAAATAAAATCACAGGCAAGCCTGCAACATGGAAAACTGCAGATTAAAAACTGTTTATCAGCAAATTGAGTTGTAAAAGGGCTGGTGTCAAGCGACCTCACACCACTGCTCATAAAAAATGGTGATGTTTGAAACCTTAGAAATCTCAATGTTCTTTTGTATTGTGTTTCAATGTTCCAAAAGTACCCACGATTCTGAGGCCACTGCAAATGTTAGGTGACCCCCTGACACCACCTCCACCCTTCCATCCCATTCCTGAAGCGCATTCTTTCATACACGCTGTGTCCAACTTTCCCACTCGCAGACCTGCTGAACCCACATTTCCTTCTGAAAATGTCYTCTGTTCCCGAGGGTCCTCAGGACCCAATATGTTGCTCGTAGGACTTCTTGTTGTAGGATGTAGGGCTGTGCTAACTTCAAATAGATTTGCCTTGTTCGGCTTCCTCCTTAATTATGCCCCCAGAGCGCATAACACATCTCTGGAGCACTGGTCTGCAAAATTCACACAGAAAAGGACTGGAGAGTTGAAATGAACCTCTGCCCAGCTGAGAGGCTGCCAGAGCCGGTGAGCCAGAGGAATTTTCAGGAAAAAAAAAAAAAAAAGAGGAAGTACCAGAGAGAGAGGAAGCGCTTCAAGAGGTAGGCAAAACAGTGAGAACAGAGGCAATTAGACCAAATAGGAAGAAAGTGAGACTAGAGATGGAGGTCAGGCACTATATCAGAATCACTTGGAGCTAACAATAGAGGAGGGATTTAGGGATTAGCACCAATAAGTAAAGGGCAAGAAAGAGGCAYGCAGAAACTTGCATTTTGAGCAGTCAGTCAGATATTGATCATAGCAGAGGGGTGAGAATGAGGAAAAGAAACGAGATAAAAGGCACAGGTTGTGATGACAGTGATGAAAAAGACCAATTTAGCGCCCTTGCTCACAGATGAAAAAAATTTCCCCTGAGCTGGGGAGCGTACAGACAAGCTATCTGGCCTCCTATTGAGTACAGAGGCAAGTCGAGCTATCAGCTCCACGTGGGCTGTAGCTCACATCTGGTAGGTATGCTGGATAAAACACACCAGTGCTGACAGTCCTGCAAGCGCTCTCAGCACTTGCCGGTGCCCAGGCTGCTCACCCCTCGGCCTGGCGCGGAATAAGAAGATCCGAAGTGCAAGGCAGGGGTTGGGAAAGGAACTCTCGCTTTTGGGGTGAAGGGCTGCAGCTCCCTGTACTGATGTGCCTGTCATGATGTACCCAGGAAAACTGCAATTTTGGGCTCATRTGCAACCCAGCTGAAGTACAGAGCTCCCACATTAGCTGAGACCGCCAGTTCTCAATGGGCTCAGCAAGGTGGACTCTCTGCTCATCATGTCCCAGGCTCTCCTTTTCCAGAGGCTGGTTTYGGGTACAGTGTAGTTTGGTAAGCTTTTTGATGGGCTATGAGGTACAARATAGTATTGTGAAGAGATGCTAGGACCCATTTATCCATGACTACCTAGAGTCTTTGGTGCATCTGTATAAAATGTTATGTCACATAAGCAAAGTTGCAAGTAAATAATGAAATATACAGCGGTGTGATTTTATTTTTGCTTGTAGTTTGTGCCTTTGGTGTCAGAAGCTCCCACAGGTACACACATCTATAGCAAGAAGCAAGACAGTCAAGACAACAAAAGTTCACTGAGAAAAGATCAGAACATAGATTTTTAATTCATTCGCTTCAGAAAAACAAACCAAAACTGCAAAAGGTTCAGGTTTTGTGACCCATTGATTGCTATGTACTTTAGTAAGGTGGCCCCTCATGATTAAATATACTTTAAACATTCCAGATATAGGAAGAGAGATGACTTGTGTAATTACCATTGAACCAATCAATAAGGAAGGCTAATTGCTAGAGGAGATTTAATGTCATATTCAATGAATGTAGATTTATGAATATTAGCTGCAAGATGCATCCTTCTAGGCCTAACATTGCTCCTACTGAATTCAATGAGAGTGTTGACTGGTTGCAGCAGTAGGACCCTGTCCTGTATTAGTTAGGGAGCCGTTATCTGCGAAATTCCTGGGAAGTTAAGCTGTGCCGAGGTCTTGAAACAGAGGTAAATAGTGTGTTGTAATAYACTGCAATACATTCAGCACATGATAATGCAAGCCACAGTGAAAAATACAACAGGGAAAAAATGTGAATTTTTGGGAAATATAAAACAAACAGGGAAATAAAGAAGGAATTCCCCCTCTTTCCCCTTAAAGCCAGATGATACGGAATATGGGCTTTCTCGGAATAGCCAACATCTCTTGGCTAATAATATATGTTATTGCTGCTTGGGAGTGGTGGCGGTCAACAAGCCGGATGTAGAGAATAGTTCTGTGTGTGGTGTTTGACTTGGGTTGCTTGCATTTTGCTATTTCCATTTCAATTTTATGAAGGGAAAAGCAGTTGTTGGGGTAGGAGTCTTGGGGGCAAGGGAAAAGGCTCTCCACATGTTGTTTTCTGTACAACTTTCTGTAAAATATGTCCTCTTGGTGTCCCTGCTTGAGCACGGGGGTTGCACTAGGTGATATCCAGAGGTCCCTTCCAACTTCAGCCGCACTGTGATCCCATGGTATCATCCAACCCCTCACATTCCAGGCCACTCCAAGCGGGCCCACAAGGGCTGCCTGGTTCTTCAGGACAYCCGTGGTCCCCCGGAGGAAAAAGCAACGTTTCACGCTGCCCTCTTCCCGTCCGCATCCCACCACACGTGGCAGAGAAACCGCATGGCCAGATATTTTTGTGCGCACTTTGTGCAACCCCAGGGCGGACAACAAGGTCCACGCACGGCGCTGCCTCCTCCCGGCGCGGGTCCCGCCGCCGTGCCCGTCCAGGGCGCCGGGAGGCCCGCGCGGGCCGGGCCGGGCCGGGCCGGGCCGGGCCGGAGCG